TAGAGTATAGCTCTGTACAATTCTGTATAATCCTTATCAATTGCTTTCTCTATTTTTAGATATCATATGGCCCTTAAATCGTAAAAATGGCACTAAATATATATTTTTTAAAAATTTAACGTGGACAAAAATTTATTGACGTTGTCAAAGAGTTAAGTTTGACCCCCCAAATAGAATTTTAAAAGTCCCATAGTGCTTTAGAAAGACTCTTTAATTAAGTGACTGAAGATGTTATAAATCTTGCGGATGAAAAGTCCTTCGCCTCTTTGCAAACAGCACGTTTACATTAAAAGGAAAATTCAGTAAGGCAAATGTTATTGGTTACTCTTTTCTAGACTTTTAGAGCAGCGTATTAAGAGTCCTCCATTTAAAGGAGGCTGCTGTCCAGTTCTTCTACGTTGTTATACGCTTTAAATTAATAATTCTTTCAATCACCCCAATGAAAATTCTAAAAAGTCGTTTTAATGACATCGGAACAGTTAACAATTCTAAAACCACCGAATTATGATCTGACTTCGTTCGTATTAGTTAGTTAAATTGTAGTTAAAAGGTAAATTCTTTAGTACTGCTATATCTAATACATCTGATGGGTATCTACTGAATTATGTGTAGGCTCGAAAGGGCCAAGTACAAGTGGTTTTTAAATGCATACTTCTCTAAAAAAACATACATTGGGGTTTGCTTTTGCCATTTCAAGAGGGATTTTTCGTATTAAAATCTTCTGCTGCAAAAGTTGAAGTACTATTTGCAAGTACCATATTGAGTAATGTACGAGTTGGGATCTTATCAAGGGTTTTATATACTGCAGTAATGTTAGTTTTTAGGCGGGATGCACATGGATGCTCCCACAGATTCAACGATGTCATTCTCAAAGTTATATTCCAGCTCAGTATGAGTGCACTTCTTAATTACAAGGGCCATCCATCCATAGCTGCTGTTTTTATCGTTGGAATCTGTGCAATAATATTTTAACATTAATCTCACATTTTTTTTGAGTTTCAATAACTGGAGTACATTCAATAGCCTTTCTTTCAAAGAACTCACGGTATTTTCTTTTGTTGACACAAATTCCATGAATATTCCATAAAAGAATTTTTAAAGTCGTTGGAGTGGAATATTAAAAGGAGTTCATTTTGTGAAAATGGGAAAGCTGTGGCAACATTTTATTTGATTTCGCCAACTGCGTGGCAAGTGTCATAACGATATTGTTTAATAAATTTGGGATGGTCAATTTGTTTTTCGAGAAATTGCTAGTAACCTGTGTATATGACTGAAAGTTTACTAAATTGTCCACTTTCTTATTTAGGGGCTTCAATTTTATTATTTTCATATTATTTTTAGAATTTGAAGCCTTACTTATCTTCTAATCTGTGTATATTGCTTTAGTGATTTTTCATCATTTTGGGAAAAACACACAGCCTCTGTAGTTTGCTGAATGGTTTTCTTATAGATTAACATATACACGGATTGGCTTTGACTTAGGGCACTCTTATTAAAAGTGTTCTTCACCTCATCTAACGCGACGTGGTTTTCCGTAGCAGTTATTTTGTGTGTGGCCATATCACTGACAGCGAAAGCACTGATCAATAAAGTTTTATTGTTAAGATTTAACAGTTACTCTAATTCCCCGGACTGCAGTAATATCATATATTTTCTTGTCAGATTTAGGTAGCTTAACTAAAACAAGAAGTATTCACATAAGTTGGGGCCTATTTCTTGCTCTAACCACTGCAGTTGGGTTATATCCTTGACCTTTTAAGTATTAAGAGATAATGTATCCAACTAATTCTGTCATTAAACTTCTTATTACTACTTTAAGACATTTATCTCCAGGAAGTTCATAATATAATATTCAAATTTTTTAGCATTAAAATTTTTTTGGATGATTCGAGAGGCACTTGAGGAAGAGGCCATAATTTTATTACATTAGACACACACATTTACCGCTTTGCCTATATTAAGTTGGTTCCTTAAAAATTTCATCAATTTTGTTCTTAACCCTTTCTCTCTATTAACAATGGGTAAAATTCTTTCGTTTTGTCGCGTAGTTTTTATATCTGCTCTTTTAAGGTATTCGCCCGATGGTGCATTACCAAAAAAAATCAGAAGTAGAACTTTTTTATGGTTTTTGTAAGTTAATTGTAGCAGTCAAACAGATTTGTGACAGCACTTTACTTTTTTTTCCCAGCTAACTTCCAGTTGTCATAAAAAAAATTTATTCTTATTTTAGCTACTCATTTTCATACCTCAATGTTAAAATCTCGAATTCGAAAGAAATAATTTGAAAAGGATTTTTTAAGGAAGGTTGAGCAATTTCCATCTTAATTTCAACATGCCTTTATTAAGTAGTGCGCCCTGCTATGACCGACGCATTTAAGAAACACCGATGATTGCACTTCTGCAAATGCAACAAAACAAGCTCCTGCGACTAATGACCGGAGCTTATTATTTTATGCGCTAAGGCACGTTGAACGGCGACTTGGGTCAGGAGCGCTTTATTCTCGAAATGTAAGCAGTGTTAGTAGGCATTTATGTCACTAAAGGGCACAAGAACTTACTCAAGAAACTTAAATAGACGCACGCTTCCGAAGGCTCCGCGATACACAAGTATATATATAACTATACATAAAAACGATGAGAAGATACGGTAATTAGAAATTTTTCACGATACTTTTGAGAGGCTGCATATATCCTTAATAAAAACTGAATGGGAGTTAGATAACAATATTTTATTCACTTTAGAAAGTCACGCAATACTACCCTCATGTACTTATAGAGCAAGCCCATAGCATAAACTATTTGAATTATAACTCCATTAGTAAGCTGTACTATAGCAATTTGCAAGTTTTAATGGTTCAGTTTTTGTAGACAGACTTTTCTTAAATCCGGGGACATAAAAGTGCTTTATTAGGTTTTTTGTAAATCTTTCTTTTTACAAGGTACCTTTAACACCGAGTTAGGGGCTTATTTTTATTATATAACCAAGAAGGAGGTACGGGCAATATAAAATATTAATGGTTTTTTAATCTAGTATATAGAATAATTTTAAGTCTCTAACATTATATATAATAGTGAAAATTAATAAAGCTATACCAGTGAAGAGTAAACTTATAAACTATTGAGATAAGGAGTGTTCAATTCCGTGCGTAAATAATATATCTACCTTTTTGCTAGCCTTGCTAAACAAAGTTTTTAAATTTGTGGCGTCTCGCGCCTTACATTTTGATGGGTGCCCAACCATTTTTTTATTTTTGGCTTGGTAGTATATAAAATTAGTACCAAGACTATTTAATAATACTAGAAACTTTTGTTACTTTAAAGGCTTTTATTAAAAAGGCATATGCATATGATAGTGTAACTTAAAACGTTAAGTTTATATACTTGGACAATTTGAGTCATCCAGAATAGTTCAACTTAAGTAAAATGTTACTTTAATTTTTTTTATTGTAAAGAATGAATATTATTTTGTTTACAATATTGATAATAACCAAAGAGGGTAATATTGCTGCGCCTACCTTTTTTTTTTCTGTGTAGGTTGTTATTATTATCTTGCTTATGCCTTATTGGAAAATGGTTTGCTAGCTTAATATTACCGCTCTTTAAGCGTCTCAGTTATTAAAAAAATCTCGTAAAAATTTGTTCCTGTGTGGAGTTTTTTTTCTTTAAAATACAAAACTAGAAGGTTTACGCTTTATTCTAAGAATACAAAAAACAATGTTTACACTGTTGACTCACAATTTTAATGTACACACTAATAATACAAAATTAATAGAATAAATTAATTAAAACTTAGCACGAAATAATAAATTTTTTTTAAGATATATAAAACATTTACAATATTACTAAGGTGTTTTTTTAAAAGTTTTATATAAACAGTATTACTTTTTGGAAAATTACTGGACACCCAGCTACTTTAAAACTCGGGAAAGCGCTTGTCGCGATGCGCTTTGCTTTAGGCACGTTAACATCACAGCAGCTTCATCCTATCACGTTTTCGCGCTCCTGAAAGGCTGAAAGTGCCTTTATGTTTGGATTTAAATTGTTGTTACCTTATCGAAGGTTTTCTGTTAAGGTGACAAAAAAGAATCGATATAAAACATCATATTTGAGTAGCAGACAGGTAGTATAATTATTACCGTTATATATTTTTTAGTACGTTCATTTTGTAACAGCTAAAATTATATACTTAGTTGGTTTTTAATTAAAACTAATTAACTTTGATTAGACAACTCTATATGTAATAGGAGCACAACAATTATATTATATTACAGTTATTTTTTTTTTTTAAAAATACTTCTATCGTACCTTTTTGTACGCATTTAGAAGCATTCATGTCAAGTCAATATTAGTATTACACCGGAAATATTGTCAACAGCCCGTACCTCCTTAGATCTTGCTAAAAAATGTATACTTTTTGACTACTTCCTAACCTTTTTTAACATAATCCTCTTTATTTGTTAAGATTTAAACAAAGATGAACTTAAAAAAATAATCTGTGCAAGATTAGGCGATCGCTTGGTTGATTTGAGGGCGCCCCTAGACTTTTTTTTATCTTCTGACACGACTTGTTCTCATAAAGAATTATCCTTTTTAAATAGTGACTTTTCTCATAAAAAAGAGATTATAGCTATAACAAGAAGAACAGGCTGGCTGCTTGTAAATTTTTACTTGCATTTTTATTATAAAGATAACTTTCAAGTCGTTAATCAGAATTTTGTGCTTTCCGAGAAGACAAGTCCCTTTTTTAAAATCAAATAACTTATTTTTTAATTTTAATTAAAAAGTCTTTAACGATTTTCAGCTGAAGCCTAATGTTTCGTGGAACGATCAAGAAATTCACCGTTTTACCTTTTTTATGGGCTCTGAGCACAAAGTTATTTTAAGCTGTGTTTAAATAGACATTCTAAATATATATTTATTTTCAAAGGAAAATTTTTTTAATCATCTGGAAGTTGTCCCTATGCCTGTTAGCGAGCTACGCATATTATATAAGAGCAATCCTTTTAAATATCAGTTCTTAAGTAATTTTGAAAGTCAAGAAAAACTTCTTACTATTCGTTTTGGAGACTATAGGGAAATTATTATGGGACCTTGCCTTTACAACCCTGGTTTATAATTATGTTTATAACTATGTTTTTATAATGATTTATTATTCACCAACTTTATAATTTTAAATTTTAAAGAAATATAATAGCCATTGTTTTAATCTTTTTTTATATTTACATAAACTTAACTTGTAATATTTATTTTTTAAGGGTAATAATTACTATTTTTATATGAATCTTATTTACTATGCTTACTTATTTTATAAGATCATCTTTTTAAGTTGGTTTTTGTTGGTTGTTCACCTGTTCATCACCAACTTGAATCTCATTCGCAACCAATTCAGCGCCTTTCCAGTTTGGTATTCCTTTCTGAAAAAGAGTGTAAGTATTTTTATTTTTTAAGTAGACCTCTGTTATAAACTGGGATTTATTTTAAATTTAAAGATAAAGTATATTCTGAGCGGCAACACAAATCTCGGGAGCGGGATCACCGAACCATCGGTTACCAGCAAAAGTTATTTATGACTCATAAACTTTGTGCGGGCTCTCCGATCTTCTTACCGCGTGGCACCCGTCTTTTTTTGAATGTGCGTTATTTATGGAATTAAATAAAATAATCTCTTTTTAAGTTTTGTTTTAACACGTGTTGTCTGGAGTTTTTAAACATAACCCTTAATGAGTTATTTGGTTTATAAATTATAATATTTGAAATCTACTATTTAGTTAAAGAAGATTTTACGAAGGGAATATGCTCTGTACGACTATGAGGAAGTAATAACGCCCCTTGTTTATGAGAAAGAGTTGTGGCAAAATAGGTTCTGCTTCTCTTTATATATATATCTAAATTAATTAAGCCAATACTTTTTTCCGAAGTGGTCATTGGGAACTTTACAAGAAGAACATGTTTCTTATGGAAAAGGAAGTATAATAATAATAATAATAATAATAATAATAATAATAATAATTATAATATTTTAAATAAAAATAGTCAACAGGGCTGAAACCAATGAACTGTCCGGCTCATTGTCTGATCTACCAATCCGAACCGCGTTCATATCGAGAGCTTCCTCTACGGTTTGCTGACTTTGGGCCTCTTCACAGGTCTCCCTCACTGATATTTATACATGATTTTTAATATTTTTTTTGGCGCCAAACTGATTTCCAACCTTTTATTGAAAAATTTTGTTGAATTTATATAGAAATGAAGACTCCGGCACATTAACGGGTCTTTGCAGGGTCATTAAATTTCATCAGGACGATGCTCATATTTTTTGCCGCCAGGATCAAATTTATTGCGAAGTTGTATAAGTTATTATTCCTCTTCTTATTATTAATGAATGCTTAGATTCAAACGTGCATGGCTATGATGGAAAAGTTATATAAATTGCTCGGTTTTTCTTATTATACAGTTCTCTCTACGCGCCCTGAAAAAGTCACTATTTTTAACAACCATATTACATGCTATCAACTATTATAGCTGTTGGTATTTACAGTCCATTGGCACCGATGAGGAGTGGAAAAATTCAGAACAGCAGCTCAAAATGTATCTTGACACGAGGGGCAGTCCCTACGAGGTTCGGTACGGGATAATCTTTTCTTTTATAGATACCAGCAGAATTTTTTAAGTTTTAAGGTAATAGACTCATTAGGCCAAAGTATTCCACCTTTTGATTTTCTCATGAGGTAAGGCCTTCTCTTTAAAGCTAAGCAGGTTCATATAGCAGCATGCCAACAGAAATTTTCAATTATACTTGTAGTAAGCTTGTTGGTTAGGATTGAATATTCCATCTTGTGATTGGCGTTAGAATTTTGTTTCTTCAGAACTTTTTCTAGTTTTTGTTACTTTTTTTAATAGAGAGATCAAGCAAATAAAATTATTTTACGTTAAGAAAATATATAAAAAAAGTTATTCCAAATTTGTTAGCGCGTACGTTGCTAGAATTATATAGGCAATATATGTGAAGTGTTAAACGTTATTTTTACAAACATGTTACTTAACTCGTACACTTTAACCATCCAATGTCCTTTTTAAAAGTTTACGAACGACCTAAATCTGCTTCTTAGCAGCAACGCCTCACCGTCATATTATACATCAAAATATAAAAAGTATTATTGAAAAAAATGTGTAATCACTGAAGTAATATATAAAATAATGAACTAATAATAAAAGTACGACATAATAAGTAGCGAAATTATTATAATATGAATTATAACAATAAATATAACTTGAATGAATAACTGGATCACAAAATTATACAACATAATTTCATAACAATTAATTGAATACACTTAGCTTATTAGTTATATTATAATAATTATCAACATCTTCAGAAGCGGTGACGGTGCATTTTATGGCCCTAAAATTGATATTTTATGTGGAAGATGCCAACGGGAAAAGGCACCAAACAGCCACTATTCAGTTAGATTTTCAGCTACCATCTCGTTTCAGTCTTCATTATACAGGTTTTTTAAGATGACTTTTGAACAAAGTTATAAATCTCTTACTTTTATTATTATTATGGAGACGTCGCATATAAAAAAATACGACCTGTAATTATTCACCGAGCTGTTCTCGGTTCATTTGAAAGAATGATAGCATTACTTATAGAGCACTGGGAAGGAAAAGTTTGCCTTTTTCCTTCCTTTTTTTCAACTCTACTTTGTTAATCCGACTTTTATTCTAGTTTCCTTTATGGCTTTCTCCCACGCAAATTCTTATTATACCCATAAAGCACGACTCTGAGAAACAATTGGAATATGCTACAAAACTTTCTAGACGCTTAAAGCTGCTTGAATTTCATGTGGTAGAAATAAAACTTTATTTAACTTAAATTTTTTGTTAAATTTAATTATTATTAAAGGAAACTGACTTTTCTAAGGATGCTTTTGTTAAAAAGATTGCTCGCTCGCGGACTTTGTTTTTTCTTAGCTTATTATTATATTTATGTCTTTATTATTATTTTAGGTATAATTATATATTGACCGTCGGAGATAGAGAAGTTTTGCAAGAGACCGTCTCTGTAAGGCCTCGCTCAGATTCAAAAGTTTTAGTAAAGAAAATCGATTTATTTATAGAACACTTGCAGAAAGAGAGAGCAATTGAATAAGAAATAATAAATATCTTATAGTCAAAAAAATGTAATCTTTTAATTTTTTATTTCAAAGTTTTAGTAAAGAAATTTGGTGTAACATAAAGACTTGCTGAAAGAAAGGTCTCATTAAATTATCAATTTAAATTTTATATAAGGATAACATAATCAAATCCTTTGAGACATATATTTTTTTACAGTAAATTTTTTCCGTTTTATCAAAATTTGGTAATAAAGCTCATTTGGTTGACCGCTCCGCCCGGCCATCGCTAATCCCACCTTTTTTGCACTTTTTAGGGCCACGCTCGAGCATCTGATATTATACATAAAATTATTCGTTACAAGTGCTGAATAAGTCTAATAAATTATATTAAATAGTTTGTATTAACATCAGTTTTTGAGATTTAACTATCAAGTAAATTTATAGAGTTTAATGGCCCGCCTAGGAGGAAAGGTGTACTTTGGAAAATTTCATAAAGATCTTAATTTTATAAGCCATAATCCTTTTTTGTAACGAATAATAAAACTAGAAATAACACTAAAAATTTTTAATTATTATTTTAATAATTTTTATATAAAAATTTAAAAATTAACACATTCGTAATATAGCAAACTTATTACCAAATAGTTACAATAAGTGTATGTAATATTCATATAATAAGTAGTTTTAAATGAAATAATTTTTATCTTAACGTTTACTAGGTTACTGATAAGTTGGAAATAATCCTTATTATTAAACTTTAATTAAATAATTAAAATGACTAAAGCTTAACTGATAAAAAGTTTATGGCCCGCACCTTTAATAAATTATTATTATAAATACCCTGAAAAAGACAATTTTAATAGCGGTCAAACTTAGTACAACTCGAATTAGCCGTTGCTCTATATTGATTATTACCTTCCGGGCTAATAACGAAATTGAATTAAAAAAAGATGCTTTTAGAGAAAGAAAACTAGTATTTTAAACTTTACACCTTATTCTTTTTAATTTTTCAAACTTTACTTCATGTCAATAAAAATAATAAGTTTAATAGAAGCCAGTAGCTCACAGTTTATACAAATATCAAAAAGCCAAAGGAAAAGGTATTGGAAGAAGGCACTTGTACTTGTATTACGAATTAATATAACATTACTGAAAACTATTACAAGGATCATCTCTTGTAACATAACAAATTTCTATACTGGTATTTTTAAAATAAAAAAAAGTTGGTAAAAGTTAACTCTAGTGAGTTTCAGTTTTCTTTGGTTAAAAAGAAAAACAATACAAACTAGTATATCTGAAGCTTTTTTTAATACAGTTTTTATATTGTATACATTCTTTTAGCTTAAAATTTGTATTTTGCTGTACAGCTTAACTTTATTTTGTCAACTAAATTTAATTTTTTTAAATTCATAACTTTCGTTTTTTAATAGAAGGATTCATATATTAGGGCGCATATAATTCTTAAGTTTACGAAATTATTTTGTACTGAAAACCTTAAAGCTAACGCTGCTTTTTTTTGCCCTACGTTATTATAATTGTTTCTGTAAAACCAATTTTTTATCAGTATCACATTGTAAACACGTACTTAATTAATTTTTGTTCACGTTTATATTACAATAAATGCCATATAGTAAAAATTTACTTTATCTCTACGAAAAGTAGCAGCAGCTTAAAAATTGTGTTTAGTTCTTTACAAAATTCTTTTTTACATATATACAACCATGGTTAAAAAATTTACATAAAAAAGAGCTTTTTATAAGCTATTTACGTAAAAGATTTTTTCCCCAAGCGTTTAAAACAATTTTTTTTAGATTAAATGAGTTAGCGAGAAAGTTAATTAAAAGTAGGAGTAAAGAAATTTATCTGCATTGCCCGATAAACAAAAGTAGGTTTTACTTTAATACCAAACTGACTTGTAAAATATTTGTCACTGTTCTCTAAATATAGATTGTCAACGCAGTGAAAATTTATAAAAAAGACTGAGAAAAGAGATGCATAATTAAATTATAAAAGGAGAATTTTATACATAAAAGCTATATTTAAAAATAATTATTATAGCGTTAAACTAGGAATTTAATATTTGTTTAGCCTAAATAACTAGTTCTCAATTTACAATTATAGTATTAGGAAATATAATACAACTGTTTATCAATATAATATTAGATAAACTTTTTTATGGGTGAACTAAGGGTTAAATTTATATAACTATACCGCCTACTATATAACCTTTTTCCCTGCTTTTTTTAGTATAGTTTAATATATCAAAGTACTGTTACTATTTTTCACCTTGCCGGCGAATATCTTTTTCAATAAGAAACTCAAACAAAATGAAAGTAAATTGTTATGAACGTTCCACAAATAAAAAGAATTAAAAAAACTCAAAGAATTTAACTATAAAATAATGTTATTAACACAACTATTAATTAACAGCTTTCACATTATAATTTAAAGCAATTAAAAACTCTAACTATTTTCCAATATTTTTTTCGCTTTTAAAATTTTTGTAATTAGTATTTTTAAATTTTGTATATAATATAAACTGTTAACGGCCGTATGTGACTTAACGATTTTTTAAAAATAATTTACTTGAAAATCCATTTTAATAAAATGCATTATTTTTTTATATTGGCATGTTTATGTCTCCACAAATGTTCTTTTTTTTTTAAAAAAGTTAATACGCTTTATAATTATTATTCAGTTTACCAATTAAGAAAAATTATACATACTTCTAGGGTATGTAATAAAAATTATTAGTACGTTGCTAGACGTAGCATTTAATAAGGTTATATAGATCTATATATAGCTGTCTCCAAGCAGTTTCCAACTGGAGGAGCAGGCTGTCTGGCCGTTCGTTTCCTAACTTGTGTGACGTTTTTGCAACCAGCGCTAGTTTAAATTTAAGACTACGTGGAGGGAGAGAGCCGAGATTAGTATCGTTGTAAAGATTTTTAGAAATAAAACTTCTTTTCTCAACACATAAACAATAATAATATCCTTCTTTGCTTGCGCTGTTCTAATTTTGCAAATAAATAGCTAAACTATTAAAGTAATTAATAAATTGTTTTATAAATTCAAGAAATCCGAATTTTTTGAGAAGACCAAAACAAAAACTTTTTAAAAAAGTAAAAGCGGTTTGTTTTTTTTGTAACGAACCTTGCATATGGCATAAAAAGGTTGTGCAATATTAAGACCACTTTTGGCGGAAACTTTGTCATATCTTGCCTGTTTATTTTTTAAGACATATTAAGAAGCAATATTGTGCTCAAAGTTATGTATATTCTTTATAACATCAAAAGAAAAAAATTATTATATTTTTTTATTTACTTTAAATATTTTTTATAAAGATGTTCTTTATAGTAATTTATATTTATAATTACTTATTTACGTTGTTACAGGGAATATTATATTTGAATACATGTTTATTTTCTTTTTTAAGATCAATATTATAGTACTGGAGTCTACACTTTCTGATCAAAAGTACAATGTTTATACTTAATATATTTTTGGTTATTACGAAATTGAATTCTAGTCTACAAGTACAAAACATTTTAGAAATTGTAATGTTGCATATAAAAGTTCATATCTCTTACAGAATATAAAGATTTTAAAATTTATTCTGAATAGTCCTTATTATGGTTCTGTTATATTTTAAAACTATAATAAGTTTTATTAACTTCATATATTTAACAAAAATTTTAAATTATTCGAAATATTTGTATTAAATTTTATCCACTTTAATGAAATATTCAAGTATTTCTTTAACGCATTCTAATAAATTATATGTCCTTGTTTTAATTTTTTTTGTTTGCTTTATTAATAATCTTTTTAATAAGTTCAATTTATGTATCAAAATTTAACTTTTCTTTTTGCATTCTGTAAATATTTTAAAATCTATAAATTCCTATCTATGAAATTTTTGATGGTTTTTATTATATAATAGTAATAAGTTTTGGAAACTAACTAACTTTTGTTATTTTTAGACTTTTTGTTATATATTAAGCCTCAATATGTTTTATTTCTTTTCTTTAATATTTAAGGGAGTCATTTATTTTAATTTTTTAAAAAATTCTTATTTTTAATATAATAATGTTATAATAGTAAATACTTATTGAGAGAAAAAAATATTGAAAAAAAAAATTGTAGAGCTAAAGGCGAGAAAAAATAGCAGATTAAAAATTAAAAAAAAAAGTTTATTCCTTAATAAATAAATTAAAAGTATTAAAACTTTTATATCAAATAAGTTCAATTTTGTAGGGTTGAAAGAGAAATTAAACTGCACGAAGGTAGTAAAAAAAAATTTGTAAAGAAAGGCGGGAAGAGAAGTTATAAAATAAATATGGCCAAAAGCAAATATCTAAATGGTACATGAAACATTAATATATTAATAACTTAAATTTCGTAGGGGTTGAATAAGGGATAAAATCGCACAAAAATAGTGAAAAAATTTTTTTTGGAAGACGGGAAGAAAGATTTTTAGACTAAATGACGCTATAGGTAAATTTTAGATAGATATATCTTTCAAGTAACAACTTTTTAAATAATATAACTTAAACTCTATTTAAGGTCAAAAAAAGAAATGAGGAAAAAATTGGGTATAAAATAATAAATTAAGTTTTTGAAATTTTTTAAAATTATAATAAATTGTTTAAAAAGGGTAGAAATAGAAATTAAAAAAGATTAACATATTTTAAAATTTATTCAGTTTTAAGATTATTATTTTTCTATTTATATATTTAAATTTAAAAAGTCTTAGATATTTTACAAATAATTATAAATATATTAAGGTTAAAAATAAATATAAAATAAAATAAGCAAAATAGAAACGTTTATTAGATAATATAAAATTTTTTTTTGTTTTTCTTATCAATGTAGAGCAGAGGATAAAAAAGCTTCAGAATAGCAGAATCATTTAATAAGAAAGTTATTAATAATTTATAGTAATAAATAAACATCCTTTTTTCAAATTAAACTATATATATAAATTCCATTTAAAAAATTTAAAAAACTATCTAGTGTATAGGTTTCTTCTTTTTTA